GGCTGATGAAATGTTAGTTGATCCATGTTCCAGCCATCATGAGCCACACACTGTGATCCTACTCTCTACATTTGGCTCTGATAAAAAAAAACAAATATAATGAATACAGTCAACAAAACAGTAACCAAGAAAATACCATGTCTAAAATTTCAAAAGTGTTTTGAAAATTTCTGAATAATCTATAGGAATATATAAATATTCCAAATCAAATATTTGCACTTGACAAAAGTATATATTTAAACTGGTATCTTAACACTACAAGCTGCTGTGAAATATTCATCTGTCATCTACAATGCTCTCATTGTGGAGGCTCCTCTTCCACAGGAACAAGATATAGTCTTATTGCTGGGGCCTATAAAAGACGATCAATCAGCCCTAACAAACCACTAACCCATAAAAAGAAAACCTTTTTAATTAGTAACAATCACCTCTGTATCAAATCTACGAACACAACACAATCCTACCCTTGGGGAATTCAAGATTTGTAGACAACTAATCAGCATCATTGTCCTCAACAATATGTTAATTATAAATGTATTTAGTTAGAGGAGCACAATTACACGACATTCTCAGATCTTAACCTGATAACCCTTGGGACACTGAAAGATGTCTTTGGCATGTAGGTACACAAGACACCTTAGACATGTATATGTATCAGATGAATAAGTTCTGAGTGTAGGAATCCACAAACAGACCTCACAGATCCTTGTTCGCAAATCTTCAAGCGAGTGAATGACATTTTATTCAGCTGTATGAGGAATGACTTTGTATACATGGTTCTTCAGTCTGGGGTTAGATGCTGAGAAGAAATTCTTACAAGGAATTATTTCTAATCCCGTCCCATCATTAACATGGAAGAATGAATTCAAAAGAATTTGTTAAAACTAATTAAAAAAACCTTCATTTGTTTGAGTGGCATTCTATTGAAGCTCATCATGTAACTTTCTTTGATATATTGTGATCCCACCTTTGTTATTGTTTTGTTATCTAATTATCATATGTACATATATCTTGTATATAAGCTGGTGTACCCCATCATTCCCCCATATGCTTGAAAACGGTATAAAAATCTACAACGAAACGTCACTATTGTGAAAATAAAGAAGTTGATCATCGATACAGTTTTGTCATCTCTATAAAAATCCATAAATTCTAGAAGTATGTGCTTCTCATGTTTACTGAAAATACCCCAAAATACAGAATCTAAACACTATGGTGGATTTCTAAACCTCAGATACTGTAAGATTTTATAGGAACTCAGCAACAAACTTCAAATCATTCACTACAATTCACAAAAATACTTCAGCACTGTATCACTGTTAATAAAATTATGATTGTTGTAATATTAAGATTTCAAAAACCTGAACACTTGTGCCAACTGAGGTTTAGACGTTATCAGCCACAATATAACTAATAAACTACAGTGGTGTGTGTACCGACTTATCAAGATAACATTATCCAAATTCAGCATGCAGATCATTGCTGCAATAAACAAGCTAAACCGAGCATGAACATGAAATGAATGGGGCCCATGTCAGCTCATTGTTTACTATCTTGATAACAAAACAAGGTGAGGTATTGCCTCTTCGTAATGTGAATAAACGTTTTTTGCCAGATCATCTTACCTCCTTGCTCTAGTAACGACAGTTTTATTGTTGATGTTTTGTTAGACTTGCCTTTCCATGAATAACCGCCACAATTAGGTCTACCTCCGTCTATAGGTGACCGTTACGCTTCAGTGGGAGTGATACTGGTGTCATTGTGACTGCTCACTTGTCAAATCATTAAAGCTTTAAGAACAGCCAGAGCGAGCGAGTGAGTGAGTGAGTGAGTGAGTGAGTGAGTGAGTGAATAAGAATTCTAAACCATTTTTTTTAATTTCAGGATTATAATCCAGCACTATGGTCTCCAAAGTGATTGGTACGGTAAAACAAATTAAACTCCCATACTTGAGTGAGTGAGTTTAGTTTTACACTGCACTCAGCAATATTCCAGCTATATGGCGGACTCCCATACTTTAAACTTTAGCATAGATTTTTATAACACTGTCTCTTTCATTGGTAGATTAACATAACTTTCAGAGCTATTTTGCACTTTACACCAAACAATTTGTTTTGGGAATAACCGTGGCTTGTTATTCTATTGCATTGACGAATTACATGTATCCTTATCTGTCAGGAACTTAGCTTCTGCCATAGAACTTGGAAATCCACAAAACATGATTTTTTAAAATACAATTCATGCTGTTTATATGGAAATACACAGTAAAGTGATACTGAACATTTTTCAAGCTGTGAGTGAGTGAGTGAGTAAGTGAGTTTAGTTTTATGCCACACTCAGGAATATTCCAGCTATATGGCGGCGATCTGTAAATAATTGAGTCTGAACCAGACAATCCAGTGATCAAGAGCATAAGAATCGATTTACGCAATTGGGATATGATGACTTTGTCAACCAAGTCAGTGAGCCTGACCACCCGATCCCGTTAGTCGCCTCTTACGACAAGCATGGGTTAGTGAAGATCAATTCTAACCCTTCACGGGTCTTTTCAAGCTGTTATGTGACATTGTTTGTAAGCTTTGTAGAACAGTGTTGCAACTGCATTGCACTGTTTCTGTTAAAGTTAAGTACAGGGCAGTTGTGAACGAGTTACTAAACTGAGACAAGGAGGAAGCTTCGAGGGCATCCGGAGTAATCCGGCATAGTCTGATCCAGCAGGTTAGGGAACTTCTGCAAGTTTTATATGCATCTCACATCACAAGAAGTCCAGCAGTTATGTAAAGATCACTTTTCACCCGGACCCCCAGCCTCAGCCTATTTTGGAGGCTTGACCTCTGTTGCAGCTGAGAGACCATCACTGTCCTTACTGCTACAATCACTGCTATATATCGTATTGTCATACCATTTACACTGACTTTGTGATTCCTTTGTAGTCATTTGTAAACTTAGTAAATGTTCGAATACAATTGTTGATTATATCACTTTTCTTTGTCATTTGTTGGTTTCAACCCAAATTCTTCAAAGTACAGAAACACATTTAGGTTAACTTTTTGTTTTAACTTGGGAATCGACCCGGAATAAGGTGTATTTAAAAAGCAAACAGCTCTTCTCAACAGTCCTCCTTTCTCCGCCTTAACACATTGTAGTCTATTTTAAATGTTTTAGTTTTCTTGTAAAGTTATTTTAAGTAGTAACAATTTATCAAATCAACCATAATAACATAATTCTGGGTTGTTGGTATTTGTTCTGCTTTACTTTTCATTGTCTTGAAATTCTGTACAAGCAAATCCACAAAGAATAAAAAATGGTTGTGCCTTATTGAAACATTTTGTGTCTGTCTCTGAAGTCAAATATCTGTTAGCTGCTGTCTTCATTGCAAAGTATCTGTAATAAACAAGCAACAGCTAGAAACAAGTGATTTAGTCCTCTAAATGGAATAAAATATTCATGTTCTTTGGAGATAACCGTGATCTTTTGGTACCATTGCTGAAAAGAGCATAGTTATGATAGAGTTGTGTTTTGTTTTACGAAGTCAAAAGAGAGATATTTCCATGTCTGTCTGACTGATATAAAATATTTTACGAAACTATGTTGAGGAGTTATTGTTTTCTCAAATCCCTTGAGGTAGTTTTCTTTAAACACAACAAAAAGGGAAAAATATCTCATAGGAATGAATTTATTTAAAAATAAACAAAACATTCTGATAATCAAATACAATGTCATGTTTTCAATCCATCATGCTGATGATTCTACAAGATGAGATATCTTCAGCTTAACTCAAGAATAAAACCTGGATCCCATCTGATAGGTGCAGATGGGCATTACCTGGTTTACAGGGCAAGAATCAACAGACACTATTTGTTCAACTATGATACTGAACTATGATGAAAAGACCTCTCTTGATAATGTAAACCTGAGAAACATGATCAACACCATTCCCAACACCGTTTGATTATACCCCTCTCATAATCTTGAACTTTGTGAAATGAGATCAACAGGCATGGAGAAAACATAGGTATTTCACATCTTTATGTGCACTTGAAAAACATGATTAAAAAAATGATCATACAGATTGCTAAGATGAAAATGGAGGAGAGGAGGGGAGAGATTAAGGGATATAGGTTGTGAACCTATCTTGTTGCATTCTACTGAAGGGCTGGATCAGATGAGTGAGGTCAGGGGAAACACTTTATGAACCTACCTCGTGGCATTCCAATGAAGGGCTTGATGAGATGAGAGAAGAAATTGGGGGAGACAGGTTGTGAACCTACCTTGTTGCATCTCACTAAAGGGCTGGATAAAATGAGTGAGTTAAGGTGAGACAGGTTGTGAACCTACCTCTGGCATCCCACTGAAGGCCTTGATGAGACGTGAGAGATTGGGTGAAACAGGTTGTATATGAACCTACCTTGTGGCATCCCACTAAAGGGCTTGATGAGACAGGAGAAGAGATTGGGTGAAACAGGTTGTATATGAACCTACCTTGTGACATCCCACTGAAGGGCTTGATGACATGGGAGAAAAGATTGGGTGAAACAGGTAGTATATGAACCTACCTTGTGGCATCCCACTAAAGGGCTTGATGAGACAGGAGAAGAGATTGGGTGAAACAGGTTGTATATGAACCTACCTTGTGACATCCCACTGAAGGGCTTGATGACATGGGAGAAAAGATTGGGTGAAACAGGTAGTATATTAACCTACCTTGTGGCATCCTACTAAAGGGCTTGATGAGACAGGAGAAGAGATTGGGTGAAACAGGTTGTATATGAACCTACCTTGTGGCATCCCACTGAAGGGTTGAACGAGACAGGAGAAGAGATTGGGTGAAACAGGTTGTATATGAACCTACCTTGTGGCATCCCACTGAAGGGTTGAACGAGACAGGAGAAGAGATTGGGTGAAACAGGTTGTATATGAACCTACCTTGTGGCATCCCACTGAAGGGTTGAACGAGACAGGAGAAGAGATTGGGTGAAACAGGTTGTATATGAACCTACCTTGTGGCATCCCACTGAAGGGTTGAACGAGACAGGCCAGGAGGTACTGCCGTTGTTGGAGCTGGATCTGCTGGATTTGCTGAATCAGCTGTTGCTGCTGGATGGCCAGTTGCTGCAACTGCTGCTGCGCATGCTTCCCACTCTTCTGCTTATCTTGCTGCTGCTGCTGCTGGATCAGCTGAGATTGCTGGAGGACATTCAGCTGTAGTTGCTCGTTGAGCTGATGGAGCACCTGCTCATGAAGCTTCTGCTGCTGCTGCTGGGATGGGAAAGAACGTCCATCAAGTCAAGGTCACATGTCACCATTTCAACAACCTTCATATAGCAGTTAGGTTTGGAATCATCTCTTCTTAATAGGGGTGACAATTGAGCTGGGTTACCTCTGTTATTGAAAGGATCATACATGGACTATGCTGGAATATTTGGGCCAGTTATACTTGCAGAGGTTCATAAGGATTACAAATTAGGTATAAGGTTGGCTATGTTTCAGGGATCTATGTCAAGACAATTGGAAACCTGAACTGGAAGCTATCACCCCCCATTCTAAGCATACTGAAGCTAATTTTGTTCACAGCAATCAGCAATACTAGAGTCTCTTTACTGTAGAATGTAAATAACCATAGTTGGACTGGGCCATCTAGTGACTGAAACAAGTGACAACCCACACTATCAGGGTACATGAAATCCCGTGGATCACAGCTAACAAGTCAAATAAAAGCTAGTGAGAGCAACTGAGTTTCACCGTACTTGATGTTGTAACATCAACGTCTGCTGTTGTTGCATCATCTGCTGCAGCTGTTGCGGGGAAACACCTTGCTGTTGCAGTAGCTGCTGCACCTGCTGCGGGGAGAGGCCGTGTTGTGCAGCCATCATCAGCAAGGGCTGCTGGGATAGGTTGGTCAGCAGCGGAGACGAGTCTGATGCAGACTTCAACTTCCGTTTAGCAGCTCCCACTAGGCTGGAGGAGTTCTTCCCAGGAGGAACACCCTGAGGAGATTCTGAGATCTGAAAGGGGAGAGCACTCTGAATAACATGAAACACGGAGTGAGGAAAACTGACTGAAAATTGAAACGGATGACATGTGTAAATCTGCATTGCGATCAGATTTAGGTAAACTTCACAACTTCATAATGAAATGCTATACTGAAGTTGATTCCAAAAATCAGACATCTGAACAATAACTTTACACCCAAAAACATGTGTAACAGGGAAATCATTCTAAGCAAGTATGCAACACAAGCCTGCCAAATCTATTATTAGCCAATCAGTGGGCTTGGCGTAATTTTTTTTAATTTTTAATGACAAAATATCCACAAAAATATGTCTTGGTTAGCCAATCTAATACCATGAAATCACTTGCTGTTGTTACACATTGCTAGCATCATGGACACTATCTCCACAAAGTCACAGCATCTGACCACGGATCCACTGAGCCAACCACCAATAGAGTCTGGACCAACCAAACTGTTCACAACAAACAGTAGACCTGTACTTGAGAACTATTCCAAAGCCCCTAGTCTGGGATGCCCCAATGACTTCATGGAAGAACACACTTTCAGTAATATTTCCACATGTGAGCACATGTGTGACATTTAACACCTGGTGTCTTCTCTGATTGACAGAGTATGGGTTACGCTGCTTTTCTGAATATTCCAGCAACTATGGCAACCAATTATGTTTATATACTGAGAAAGTGACAAAAGCAAAGGCCCAGTTCTGCACCATGACCATAGAACATACACAGTCATTGAAACAAAAACCATACCAAGATAATAAAAGCATGTCTAGCCTACTCTGTTCTAACAAGAGGCAGGGATCCTTCAACCACAGACGATACTCTGTTGACACAACTTTGTGGTGCAGGGTTCTTTGCCTGTTCTTATCTGAGCAACAAATTTCACTAATTATACGATGAAACAAAATAGGATCAACAAGGCCTTGCCATGCACACAAACTGCTTTTTTAATTCTTTTTCCTTCGTAAATATGTGATTCAAAATTAAAACCTGACAATTATCTCATTGGTGCAGTGTCAGGTACTCCGTGATGATGTCTTACACAGAGAACCTACATGAAGCTATTATTACTTCTACAAACCAGAAACCAAGGTGGGGAGACAGTTCAGTGCCATCCCGTCAGATTAACCCTTTCAAACAAGTGATTCTGTGAACAGTTCACGAAAATGTGAAGCCTATTATCTTAAGATCCTAACGTAGTCTATCAATTCAAATTATAAACCCCAAAAAATTAATTAGCTAAGAACTAAGAGATCTGAAAAAGTTGATGTTTTTCCCTGTTTTGTTTTAAATTGAAATGCTAAATAAATGCTATTAAAAAGAATGTTGTTGATTGGTTGATAGTAATTATCAACTCTTCCCAAACACCACCACATGGGTATGTACAAAAGGAAAACATATACTATGTTGTTATTTCTGCAGTCAAGGTATAATATTATGATGTTCCACTTAAAACAAACACGCAACCTCCAACAAACCGTATGAACTATGACAATCACAACACTGACACTGCTCCTCTCCAGGCTCTTTCTTTCCGGAGTTCTGAGGTCTGCTTCCAACAAAATATCCTCGCTCCACCGAACCCATACATTAGTACAGATGACCAACCCAGTTCCTCCTTCTGTACAAGTTCTGATAATGGTTCCTGACAATAGTTCCTGTCCCCTACAACACCACCACGTACCCTTCCACCCCCATTCTGGCTCCCTCTCCTTATCTAAGCTCTGACAACTCGACATGCTACGCCCTCAAATATAGTGCTCATCTTCCGATCAACCCCAAAGAAGTTCTGACAATAGCTCGTGACAATGGTTCCTTATTTCTCAGCCCCTGACATTACCTATTACCAGAACACTTCCAGGCAGCCCTGTTTCCTGAGTGAATTGCTATGAAGAACAACATCTGATTATATTGAATAGATATCTACAAATTGTTAAGTCTCTAGGTAAACACGTCATGTAAATGCGCTTGTTTAGCTGTTTAGGAAAGCTATTTCGAACCCGTAAACAAAAGCCAGCGTGTTTACAGGTTTGAAGTCACCTGACAAATTCCCGTCTAGATTGCCTCATATATTCACAGGATGTTTACGTTTCACAACTACACAACTGATCAACACACCAAACTTCTGGACAGGCATACTTGAAGATAAAATCACATTTACATTATCTTTGAATTCTTAGACATATTAACAAAAAAACAACATTTCCACACACAAGTACATCGCTCATGTTTCCTTGCTTCAAGCAAGTTCAAGCTATCACCAACAACTGTTTTCATACTGTATACAAAACTTAATCATAAATATTGATATTTTCACATTCCGCAGAAAAAAATTTCCAAAACAATAAAATTTGACATTTAAATACCTTTATGTTTCCTCCCAATTGTCATAATTTATGTACATAGATTTCTTTCATCCAGTTTCATAGCATACATAGAAATAACCCTCAATAGAGTACATGTTGTATTTATCAGCTGTGGTATAAATCCTGTTGATTGACATTTCAGTGAAATATGTTAACGCCTACCTTAGCAACATTGCCAATAATATAAACACTGTGAGCACCAGTTTTGACTTCACAAAATGCACCCATCTCTGGAAGCAAACCTGTGTCCTGGTTCAGATGAGTTACCAATGTTACTACTCAGCATCCCCACTCATCAACAATGAAAGCAAACACTATTTTCCATGACTGAATTGATAATCGAGTCTATCAATTCAAATTATAAAAGTACCTCTACAACTGATTAGCTAAGAACTAAGAGAACTGAAAAAGTTGATTTTTTTCCCCGTTTTGTTTTAAATTGAAATGCTAAATAAATGCTATTAATAAAAATGTTGTTGATTGGTTGATAGTGATGATCAACTCTTCCCAACCACCACCACCACATGGGTATGTACAAAAGGAAAACATTTACTAAGTTGGTACGTGAAATATCACTGAATGAACACAAATATTATACCATGGGGGAAATAAAAACAATATATTTTAACACAAAATATCTTACTTCACTACATCTTACAGTGGATTTTAATTTACACAAAGAAAATAAAAATGAATACTTTAATGCGGGTAGTTAATGAAAGCCAGAAACTAATAAACAAAAGTAAGGCAAAAGAACAACTGTTCAAGCATAGCCTTCAAACAACTGGGCCCGTCTGCGTTCATAACATAGCAACATTATCATATGACCTCATTATCTAGTATCACATGGTCAAGGGAGACCAGAAGTACATTCTTTACCATCAATACAAATCAATAGAACAACATGATACCACATTCCTGGTGATTATCTGCTCGTATCCACTGACAGGAAAATCACAAATTCCTACCCGCTGAGGAGGAGACGACGGCACCAACACAAAGACAATGTCCAGATGAGGAAAATATCACCACATTTCTAAAAGTCAGCATCTTCGATTATCAACAAATATAAAAATCGTCCAAGTTGCAGAATGGACATCTTTTGACGAAGGCTGAGTCAGAAGAAAGTACATTTACACAGTGTTCCTTAGTAAATAGCCAGGAGTTGACTTTGTCCCCCCCGATTTGGTTTTACAGCTCCACAGCCTGCTGGAGGTGGCTACAGTTGCCCACTGCGTGAATGTAACTACCACCACCTCACTGGACCTAGCTTGTTACTTTCTCTAGTTTGTGTATTGAGATGTTCCGAGTTCGCTGGGTCTTGCCGCTCTGATCTTGTGTAAACATGTGCCAAGCCACTGATAATGAGAACTCAAAGAACAAACATACACTGCTTTGGCAAAAAGGGAAACAAAATTTTGCCACGAGCCCTCGAAGCATTCGATCGATCACAAGGCAGACCGCTAGGACAGGATGAAACAAACACTTTGTCCATCCACAAGCAAAAAAGACCCTCTGCAACCCCCAATCATGTGATATTCACAGAAAATGCCTGTACCTAAAATACCATGAGGTTGAAACTTCCTGAATAATTGTGTTTAATATTTGTCCATAACTTCATCACATGGCAATTAATGACTTAAAGAGGTGCACAAATACCTCAGATTTTCAATTTTACTTGACAGAAAAGCAATATAGAGACTGCATGTTTAAACAAAAACAGACTGGAAAATGTCCTAAAAAATAGCTGACTTCGACAGACTAAACTGACACCTAAAAGTGTTGTGTATAAGTAGTTATTAACGAGTGAGCAAGTTTAGTTTTACATAGCAATCATTAATATTCCAGCTGTATGGTGGCAGTCTGTAAACAATTGAGTCTAGACCAGACAATCCAGTGATCAACTGCATGAGCATTGATCCACACAATTGGGATACGATGGCATGTGTCAACCAAGTCAGCGAGCCTGACCATCCGATCCCGTTAGTCGCCTCTTACGAAAAGCCTGGATTACTGAAGATCAATTCTAACCCGGATCTTTACAGGTTTGGGACAGTCAGCTTGAAGAGTATTAGCACAGACTGTTGACAAGAAATGTGCACACTGGGGCTGACTGTCAAACACATGATTAACTTGATTTGTTTGTCTCTTACATCATTGCAGCAAGCAACACCCTACCTGTCCCTAGGCATTCTGTAAACAATGTAGTTCGGAAAAACCAGTGGTTGACAGCATGATCAACAACCCTGGTTGCTTGGCTACAGTGACACACAATCAAACATGCCTGTGGGCCGCCTAACCTGACCCTCAATGTCGCTGGCTCTCATGACAAACCAACGATAGTGGGGACTGACCGTAGGTAACCACAACATATATATTGTTTGTGCATAACAGTTGTATAGAAGCATGGACTGCTGAAGACCCAGATTTTTGTGGAGGTAATATAACTGATGTAAAACAAATTTGGAACACATTCATTGTCATTAAATTCCATTTAATGGCTGTAGAAACATGCCTCCTCCAGACCTCTTCCCGAAGAAAACCATAGTAACAATACTAACAACATTCTCAATCAAAATCTCTACCTTGTCACATAAATCTTACAATTACAACCAGATGACAAACTGATTTCATTCTTCAGACACTGACCCAACCAACCAACCAACCAACCAACCAACCGCGCGCGCACACACACACACACACACACACACACACACACCTCATACACACACACCTCACACAAACCCTTCCAGAACACACACGCATTTGCATGCTCACACGCACACACTCACTTTCAGGATTGAGGCAACCATTACCTGACGTGATTCGTGATGCAGGTCGCCATTTCTGGCGTCTCCATTGAGAAGTGCTGCCCCAATGGCGGCAGCGTCTCTAGCAGCGTCTCTGGCAGCGTCTCTGACAGCGTCTCGTCCAGTAGACAGGTTGATGGCTGCGTCCTGGTGCCCCTCTTCTTCCATCATGCCATGTTCCTGGAAGCAATCAAATAATATAAATGTTGTACTTTGTAACACATCTCTAGAACTTACATTTCCATTCAAACATAATACCAGACTGTGGTCATCTAATTCTTCTCTGAAGCATATTCAATTTAAATTCTTCACCATTTCAATTTTCTATGAGAACTAGCATAACTTCTGTTTTCACCAATATGTACCAAAGACTGAATTTGAAAGCAATATATTTTATAAATTAACTTCTTATCACAGTTCACCATCAAAACTGTAAGAGCTATTCATCCTAGCCACATTTGCTTTTTATCTCACAAGCAACCATATTGAAGTTCTACCTGCCTAAAAATGTGACCAATTAATTTTTCATACCTATGAATGTTTCTGAGCTCTAAACAATAGGGACTTATCTGTCATCTCCTTTTGTACATGTGTGAAATATTAAAATCTTGCATTCTTCTTTTCTTTATGTTCAGTTTCAACAAAGAACGTGAAAGAACACGACAGAAAGGATACATGGTTTAATATGTACACAAAATTTCAGTAGACAATGTATCATACTACATCAAAATGATTTTAGGATTAAATACTTAAGCGAGAAAAAAGAGATAGCTCTTTTGTAGATAATCAAATGACTGAATCATGACTAATGCATTTAATCATTAAATCATAAAACAGTAAAAACAATTTGGGGAGTGTTGGGTGGGCTTCACAGATAATATTTCTCAACTCTTTCCTAATTTGCCTTTAGAGTGCTGGTGCTCAATACTTTGATATAGGCTACCTTTAGAGCAATTTTTAAACAAAAAAAGCCAAACATTTAAATAATCAAGATACTGTTGTAACACTTCCAAATAAACATGACAAGTTTCTCTTACAAAAATCAATCCCACTGAATATGTATCAATAACGTCATTACATTCAGAGGGGCTTGTGTTCCTTCAACACATTTGAGGGGCCCAGAGACCCCAAATACTGTCAAGAAATTTATCCCAAGTCAAAGTGAGTGAGTTTGGTTTTACGCGCCGCTTTTAACAATATTCCAGCAATATCACGACGGGAGACACCACAAAATGGGCTTTAAACATTGTACCCATGTGGGGAATCGAACCCGGGTCTTCGACATGGCGAGTGAACACTTTAACCACTAGGCTACCCCACGGCCCCTCCTAATTCAAAGACCTGACAATGCACATATTCCTGCATGACGTCCATCATTGATTAGACCCTTTATCTAACATGGTCCCAAAGGTGACAGCAAAATCATGGGTCAAGGTAGACTTTGAAGCTCACTTCAAACTTCATGAATCATTTTCTGAATGAATTGAATTGAAATTCGAAAAAGTCGACAACTCCAACCATTAATTTCAATGTGGATGGTTGGGGAAAAAAAAGACAATGACATTTTTAACATTGCTGCACCTGGCAACTACATCTAATCTCGACAGCATATCTGAAGACACCTCAAACTTCAGTTCCCTTGGGGTTGAGGAAGGGAGTGGGAGCATTGGCGACGTAACAGAGGTAGTATTTATTAGGGATGGGCAATAATACCGGTTCACAATATATTGCAATACATATTGCAATACGCCAACACATATCGCAATACAAAGTTTTGGCAATACCCAACCCTAGTATTTATGGAATTATTAATAACGACAACTATTATTTCCATCATTCTTACTAAAGCTCAATAGGCTCAGCATCATTGCCAGAATCAGCTAGGGGAACAGGTAGCTTCTGACTGGTATACTCCTCGTGGAGTTGAAAGAACTATGGCTTTCTGATGGTTTCATATGGAACACATGAATCCTTGAAAATTCATACGCATAAATGCAAATGACTGTATTAACAGACACTTGAAGTACCAACAGACACACACAACCTACCCACCAACTGGAAGAACCATCATAATTGATATTTGTGCACTATAGATGTAATAAACCATCAGCCTTTAGGGGAGTTCTTTTGATGTCACTTCCGGTCAATCATACTTCCAGATATGACATCATTTCCAATTTTGACATCACATCAAGTTGCTTTCAGACAATGACATAAACTGATTTTGACATCACTTTTGGTTTAACAACTATGACATTATTTCCGGTAATCTGTTTCCAGGTATCTTGTACTTAGGTTTAGTATAATCAAAGGAGTTCCTACCTCTGAGGCTGTAGATGCCGGATCTCGACAAGCCCCTCCCTCCCCTGTGAATCTCTTAAAGAATTAGGGAAACCTTTTGTCTTATGATCATTGAGAAACTATGGGAACAAAGAAGTTATCCTTTCCAGGTACGGCTGAACATCATGTAAATAGGAGTTAGTGAACATGTTGTGCTAGAACCTTTGACGAATGGATAGAAATTGTTCTATGAAAAATGTCAATGGATACTGTGGATGCCAAAACTTATATTTCACAGCCATACCAAGATGCAAGTATAGGTTGTTAGTAATGAGCTTGTCTGTATCTTTCAAGCTATAGCAGATTTTCTCTTAGTAATGTCTTTGTCTGAGAATGTCTTGAAGGTGATAAGCAGCCTCTTCTATGCCTACTTTTGAAGATCTGAGATAGCACCTTTTGACATGGTATTGGACGCAGTGAACACTGATGATGCTAATGCTGGAATCACATATCATCTACGAACCAAGTGGTCCGAGAAATGTGGATTGATTCTTGGAGACAAACTTCGGTACCAATGTAACAGTGGTGCTCCGGTCCTCTGCATGTCTCAGCATTGAAAATCTATAGCCTTAATCTATGGCATCCCAGCTGCCTTAATCTAGGGCAAGGAAAAGCCGGTTTCACTTGCAGTTTGGATTATGCTTGATTTTTCCAAGGGGTTCAAAAGATTTGTTAATAATGTTGAATGAACCCAAGAAAGATTCCACTTCTTGGAGCTCTGACATCTTCCAAAAGAAAGGATTTCAATAATACTATTAATAGTAGGTTGATCACTAATAGATAATTTGATTGTCGTAAAGGAGGGACAGTTATGATCTAATAGATTTTGTCACGGCTGCAGACACAGATTTAAAGAAATCTTCTTGCTGCAAGGTTTCATAGTTTGTTGCCTAGTTTCCAATGGATGGAGCACAGGAAGATTGCAGTGTAAGATGATTGTCTGTTTTAGGAGTGATCACAATAGTTTTGAGAATCATGCTTTGCTTGGCCTAGGTTGTGCAATCAATCATCTTATCTTCAGGATATCCTCATCTGCAACAGACCATGGAGGGGATGTGTAGGCACACAGGCCGTCCCTTCAATGGAGAGAGTGTCTACCTGTAGGGCCTCATACTGGACAGACATAGGTAAGTTCTTCAGACGACTCGCAGAGATGTAGATGTACAGAATCCCACTGTGATGTTATCTACTTGAAGATTGTTGGATGTAGGGACCACCCTGTTGTCACTATCTTTCCCTGGTGAGAGGGCTTTCCAATAGGATTTTCTGTCCAACATCCATGCGGGAATTGATGGAATCTGCCAAGGCTGTGGCTGTGAGGACTGAGGTAGAAGATTCCTACAGTTCTTGAGAGCAAACTTGATTGCCTTCATTTCTTGGCAGTTTCAGATAGTCCATGTGGGCTAAAAAAGGTGAATTACTAAAGGACTGTTGCTCATCACGTGATCTCTGTGGTACTACTAATGAAGGTTCTGTGGGTGTTTGGATGAGAGTGCCTAAAGTCTCAGATATGAGAAATTGATCCAATTTTGAAGAGGTCATACTATCCATCTCTCTGTGAGTGTCATATCTTGTCATTTGGTGTGTAAAGGTGCCATGACAGTGATTTGGTGTAGATTGCCCTCCATCTGAAATCCATGCCAGTCGGTAATGGTAGCTGCTCTGGAATGCTGTTTGTGTATCTGTGGACATGCTGGAAACTGTTTGGGCCCTGTGTGTCGACAATGATGGTTTTGAGAAGGTTGCTGACTTTGCACTTCTTCCGGGAAAAGGTGTGATGACCGTGATGAACCTCTTCTACTAGACAGCTTGTCTGTCTGCTCTGTGCTGGGTTTCAGACAGCTGGCTGTCCTTAAGACCCTGGCTACCAGGCAGTACCTTAGTTCTTGGTTCTATGTTGGGTAACGCTAGCTGATATCTGTCTGTCGGTCGGTAGGAGACAAGCTGAAAAACGTGCGTGATGGTACTTCTGCTGAAGCTTTGGACGAGTGCTGTCCACCTTTTTCTTGTGCTCAGTGTGACTGGAGAACTGATCTTGGCATCTTCCTCTTGTTGCTGTGTAAGCAATCCACTTCGGCGGCTGTTCTTCAGAAACAAACAGAACTCCATGCCAGTCTTCTGTTCGACTAACAACTGTCTCTATAGGGATGCTAGGCATTGACATGGGAAGAGGGGGAGTTACAAGCGTACCCTATCTTTGAAGAACCTCTGGTGGTGTAGCTGTGGAAGGAGACTAATTTACCGTTGCCCTTTTCTCAGATGCCCTATTCCTCTCCGCCTGCTTGATCATGTCATTTAGTTTGAAGGAGGTAGACTTGGAGACATAAGAAAAAGATTCACTGGAAATTTCTTCAGAGCAACAGTTCTCTTTACATCTCCAGAAGGCTGCATGAGGGTCTTTCTTTGTAAAGAATTTGCAACATGGCTCAAGTTAATGTCTTTGAGTGGCATTGTTTAGAAGATGGAGAGTAATATACAGACAAACTTTATGGATAAACAACTTCTTTATTCGGTTGATGCGACGTTTCGATACAGATTCTTGTATCGTTGTCAAGCAAGTATTTAGCTCAAGTTGAGATTGTTGATGTCATCTTGAAGATGGCACAATCTTCTAATAGTTATGTGCATATCAGCAACCTGTACATGTCAGCAGGGACTTCTGGTGATTAGTTTACTATGACTTCAGACGCGATACAGGACTTTCAGTAACGATGAAATAGAGATAGAGGATTCGAAAAATCTCTAGGCTTCTGGTGTGCCCAAGAAAAGGCTGTACAGAGAATGTGCCATGCCACCGCCACCATGTTGACAGCATGGAAATAGGCCTTAGAAAAGGACAC